AAACAGGCATAAATGAAACAATTACAGGGAAAAATGAAGATACACAGCTAAGAAATCAATCCCTGTGACCCTATCACATTATCAGTTAATAGATAAAGAAATAATTTTGTACATATAGTGTCATAGACAAGGAACATGTTTACAGAGGAATATGCAGAATATACGAATAATTAGGCATCCACATTTGTCAAGTGTGAAAAATAAAAAAAATTGTAGATCTCTGGACGTCATCCCATAGAATATTATACAATTGAGGCCATGCCTGATTACAAAGAAAGCAGGATGATGAAATTCCGATTTATTGAGGAAAAATATATCTTGATTCTAGTTACCATAGATAGAATATTATGGTTGTTAGAGATTGTAGGAGATTTAGTTTCCTTTTGTAGGTTATTTTATTCCTTTTGTATTATAAATAGAAGTCTTCATTGTACAGTAGGGTAAGGTGAAAAATAATAAAGTTTTTCCTCTCTTTCTCGTCTTCATCTTCTACACAGGACTTGCAAATTATACAAACATAAGACATCTGTAATAACACAACTCATTGTACTGATAACTTTAAATCACAAAGATTTCTGAACAAGGTCACATGGATGTATACAAGATGCTTAAGCAGATTATATACAACAGTATTTTAATTCTGTTACAAAACATTACAGTAACCTTTAAGTCGAAACGGGAAGAATGGTTGGAAGTCCAATTGTACCCTTGTAGGGAAAACTATTGTCCCTCCCCTTAGATTGTAATAAGAAGTTTTAAATATGTGATTAAAAATTTGTTACAAGTTACTCGACTAAAGAAGAGATTCTCTTTCCACCCCATTCTATATTCCCTCCTACCCAACTTCCCACTACACTTCCCACTCTGCCTTTTCTTTCCACCCAACTTCCCTCCTACCAAACACACCCAAGCAGGATGAGTGACTACACAAAGGGTCTGTTCATAGTTGTGGTCATATAAAATTCAAAAGGAACAATCCAGTACCACGAAGGATATTGCTCTTTACCAGTCCATCTAATGATGCAGTATTAATTGGTAGAAACAAGTCCAGGTGAAAATTGAAGAAACCAAAATAAATATAAGATACTGGTATAGAGTTGTTCCCATAACTGTTTCTTAGAGACAAATTGCCGTTATCTACAT